AAAATATAATAATTTTATATTTATTCATATAAAAATATTAAAGAGACGAAACTTTTGACGAAATTACAATTTTTCAAGAAAGAATTTAGTCAGGTATCACTAGATTCTACCTAAATCTGCTGGAACTTGAATTTGATTCATATTCTTTTGGATACTTTTAAGAGCATCTGAAGATAAAACCTTCTCATCAAATCAAATATGTTTAACTATCCATTTTGCTATGCCTAAAAATAGACAATGCATTGGGTCGACCGTTAAAAATTGAATTGGGTCAAAGTATGATAACTGAAGTAATTCAGACCATCTAACGCCAGTATTCTTTACAAATCGCCTTCTGTCAGCATCTGAATTACACCTTCATCAGCCAAGTGCATCCTCTCGATATTGTGACAAATTCCAGAGAGTAAACCATTCGTTCATGTTAATCATTCCAGCAAAATGTTGTTGCCGATTTTCATAATTTGCCTTCTTTTTGCACCTATGACATGACACCAATACCGAAACGTGACCACAAATTTTTCTTGCTGTGGAAATATCACATGAAATAAGGATTAATGCTATGTGAATTCTCCTTTCTTCTTGACATTCGTATGTTCGATTTAGAGTCACACCATTTCAAAGTAACTTTAATTCGTCAACAATTAGTGCTAAATAATGGTTTATCTTGTGTAAACACTTCATTCGGGCCAGGCAAAACTCCAAGAATTAGTAAATTTTTACGCTTGAATCGAATGTCTCTTGAAAGATTACAAATTGCGGCATATAATACTCCAGTACTATGGATTGTTCCATCAAAAGGTTGAAACTAATCCAAATTCATCATTAATCCCAGATGTGAATCAGCTACATCAGGTCTGAAAAATTTTGGTGAAATTTCTGAATCATTTTCTTTAAATGTCTTTCAAACTTGTCCATCATATATGTCAGCCAATATGTTATCAAAACTTTTTCTATTAGTGCAATAACGTAGATAATTTTCGAAACCTTGTCGACGAAACATAACACTGAGTTATTCTCGAATGCTGGCAAATGGATGAATTAATTTTGGTTGGAAAAAATTCGAATTATCCATTTTGTGAGACAATGGTGTATTATAAGGCCGTAACCTTCGAATTGATGAATTTGGAAATTCGACATGGTTGAATGTCATAATCAATAAAGTATTATTCTGTCGAAAGTTCATCACTTCATCTCTGTTGTAATGTTTATGATATTTCGTACAAGATACAAAACTATGAAATCGGTCTTTGAGGCCAAGCGATTTCTTTGCTAAATAAAGAGTACTTGGAAATCTGTTAAACTTATCACTACCAATTTCAGTTAGAACTAATTTTATAAATTTTATTAGAGAAACTATTGCAGTCTCAGGTACGTTAAATCTAATTCGAAAGTTCATTATCCATAATAAAATCCATGCAAATTGATCATCGATCGTTACTTCCTCTTTTTCATCTTGATATAGTTCATATTTCAGTGGAGAATAATCTTCAAAAATTTCAGAAATAAGTAAATCATCCAATTCACTTTCGTCTTCACTCATAGGAGATTCGATATGTCGTCTTTCGTTATGTTCATAATTATCGCTTAAAGAAGACTTGGTATGTTGTTCATCTTCAGAGTCACTCAAATCGTCAGTAACTTGCAGATGACTTATATACCTTCTTGTACGTCTTCGAGGTAAATTCGATAATTTAGGATGACAATCAGTCATTTTGATTCTTGAAGCTTATGATTTATCATCAATCATTTCACTCCTTGAAGCCTGTAATTTGATCAGCAGGTGATCCAGTATCAAGTATCAATTCATCAAAATTCAGAAATAATTGTTCGATGGCAGAATCACCACGAATTGTTGATAAACCACTTGTTGATTCATGAAAAAGTTTGTCTAATTTAGAACTAATTTTCCATTACACTTGTTACAATAACAAGGAACCTTGTTATCTTTTTTTATTCAAGATAGTCATTTTATCGGCTTATTACCAATGATATTCAAAATAGACCTATTTCTTGTCATCTTGAAAATTTAAAATTGCTGTTTTTTGTCAATGTCAATGAACGATTTATATATATAAAAATGAAACAATTAATATAGATGCTGCGGCGGAATAATAATTAAATTAGTATTCGCATAATAATCGACACCTGCATTATAATTGAATGATAATCGAAATTTAAAGCATTATATTCTGAAACTTAAAATAATGATCACATTACAATTGTATCACCACATTATAATCAAAATTTGAATCAATTACCGCATGGTAATCGAACTTTTTAAGAATTACCACATTATAATTGAAATTTAAAATTATTATCGCACATTACATTGAAACTTAAAAGAATAATTGCATTATAAGCAAAACTTAAAAGAATACCACATTATAATCGAAATTTGAATAAATTACCATATGGTAATCAAAATTTTTAAGAATTAATCGTATTTAAAGTTGAAAGTTATATGAATTACATGCAATGTATTATACTATTAAAATAAACTCTATTTAATCAAAAGCTTATAAAAAGGTTCATTTCCTCAAACTATTTTTAATCAAACTCTTCAATATTTTATCACAAATAACATTTCAAATCTCTTTTAACAAAAAAATTTTCACATCTTCTCACAAATAACATTTCATTTATATTTCCCTAAAAATAATATTTCGTTTCTCTTTCGCATACATCATTTTCTCACTTTTTTCACAAATAATATTTTGTTTTCCTCGTTTTCTCATTTTTATCAAATAATATTTCATCACAAATATGACTAGAAATATGAATTGATAAAGGCTGCAGCAGTACGTCATCAATCGCCATGCTGCCAGAAAGTGACGTGTTAACAAGAAACTCAGGGAGTAACAGAAACTCATAGTAGCCAAAAAATGGCAGATACTCCACGTCGGCAGGTTTCGACAACAACTTCGACACCTTCAAGTAGTCAAGAAACACTCGGCAGGTTCCGATAACAACTTCGATACCTTTAAGTAGCCAAGAAACACGTCAGCAGGTTCTGACAACAACGCCTCTTAGTAGCCATAAAATTCCATATTGACAAGTTTCAAAACTAAATCTAAGTAGTCAAGAAATACCAAGTTGGCAGGTTCCAGCAATTAAAAGTCAATTGGAAATACCGAAATCTTCACGTCAGCAGGATCTGGCAAATAAAGGACTATTCAAATTATTAGTGCTATTAAATATTTCCAAAGAAACTCGACCTTAATCTTCAACTCGACCAGGTGGAGATTGTGATGTTTCGCTTAATTACAGGATCGAAGATGAACATCAATATGGTGAAACCTCAACCACTGGTATGGTTAGAGATGCCATTCTGGAAGCTGATAACTGGGATCTGCAGGCATTATCAGCTTTCCATCAGAGGATAACTGAAAGGTCTTCAACACGTCAGCAAATAGGTGATGAAAGATGTCACGACGAAAGGAGTAATGAAAGAATTATAACTCCTTATCGTCGACAATTTGACATTTCTCAAGGTGACGAATTTCGATATACTCCATATCAATATACACGAGATCACAGATTAAAACATGATGAAAGGAGTGTAACTCCTTATCGACTAAGAAGGAGAGAAGCTTCTTCTGGAATAATTGATTCTTCGCTGAGCGAAGGTAAGTGTAAATTATTACAAAAATTTAGCTGATATATATTTTTTAATCAATTTATTGTTAACTTTTCTATGAAAAAGCATATTTACGTGGAAGAATCGATAAGTTGAGCAGGTAACTCAGCAATGCAAATGAAGAATTAAGACATTTAAGGACAGAATTCGGTAAAGTTACTGGAGATAACTAAGTGCTTATTCATGAAAATGAGAGTTTGCAGGACGAACTTAGGCGAGGCCGACGAAAACATAGAGATAAAGAATTAGATAATAATCATTGAGAAAAGCGAACTTGACACAGTAGCGATAAAAGCGATGAAGAAGGATCTTACAATAATGACGCAGCCAGGGTTCGTTTAAAATCTCTTCTGAATTCTAATTAAAATAACTTTAATTCTAACCGAATTTTAATCAAATATAA